TGGTGTTGGTGCTGGTGCTGCTGCTGGAAGTGGTGGCCGTGGTTGTGTCGGTGGTGGTGGCGTCATTCTGCCACGATTCAGGTGTACAACCTTGAGCTGAAGCTGCTGCGTGAGACAGTCTTGGAATCAGTGGTGCACCCAAGCCAGATGGCCACCGGACTCACAGCTTAGTTTTCAAGGTCATAGTCGAGGCATACAACGAAACTATATTGGAGTTTCCGAAAATTAGGGTACCCTATTCTGGGGTCCTTAGAATAAGGATCCTATTATTTAGGGTGCCATATTAGGGTCCCCTATTTTCGGAAGCCCCCAGATTGCTACGTGTAGCAGAGGGCAGAGTAGACAATGCAGTATGCCCGGCAACGACATGCACTGCTCCAATGGGCATGCTAGCCCCTAAATGGCTAGTTTTCCAAATTAGGGTCCCTTTTGGGGTCCTTTTTATAATGGTGCCGTACGATATTGGGGATCCAAAAAGGGACCCTAACTTAGAGAACTACCTTGCCGTCATAAGTCCTGCAGCTCTCAGGCCATGGCGCCAAATGGAGAATTAGTCATGGTCAGCTTTGATGGCGTGGCTGCTGTGGTCGACTCAGGCACCTTCGTGTTCGCACAGGTAAGCTTTATTGTTTGGTGTCACATGAGATTGGTTCTGTATTCGGCATTTTGGAAGTTTTGGTGAGCGTCAACAAAGGGCTCCCTTTAAATAGTGATGAGTTCTAGTGATGGTTGCAAATCTTTGTGGGAAAATAGTGCTAGAAGAACCAAAAACGGCAACCACTTCTGGGCGAAAGATCTTAGCAGCAAAGGAACGCTCGAGCTGATCAGGATGATCCCCTCCAAGAGCCGGAGCACAAGCACAGGTCGCGCAGCTGGATTCCAGAAGGTCCTTTTCCACGTAGGTCCTTTTCCACATAGCCCGAAGAGCAAGTAAGCATTACCCTACCACCAAAAGTAGCATTCAAACGGTCAATATACCATCTATAGCTACAGGTAGTAAACTTTCCGAAACATTATGGCCCTGTTAGGTGTTGCCATCCAGGGAGAAGAGCTGTTTGTGTCGCACCTTGGCATGCCAGACGGCACCGGGTACCTCGAGGTGTTGGACCTGCAAACAGGGCAACACCTGCGCATCTCAGCAGCAGAGCAAGTAACCGGAAACCTGTCACCTTTTTGGAGTACCAGAACCCCAAAATTCAAAAAGATTGCCATCATGCCTGCGTTCCCCTGGGAAACTGGACAAGCAAGGCACCTTGGATGGTTTTACCGGGCCTTCTGGCGTGTGCGCTTTCGATGGTGGTCTTGTCGTGGCAGATCGCCTTGGCGACGTAGTATGGCTGGTGGACCATGAGGGAAACCGTACCAAGATAGGCCAGGGCGAGTTGAAGCGCCCCAACGATGTTGCAGTGGATCTGTCCGGGAATATCTTAGTGATGGACACAGGCCTGGAAGGGCTTGTCGAGGTTGAATTCTGAGACGTTTTGGCTTGGGCTGAGATGACAGGAGCGGGGATTGAAGATTAATTTTTCTCTGAAAATTCCCGGCACTACGAAGCATAAAGCTCATGGACTCTTGGGTTTGTACAAGGTTAAGTTCAGCATCCGCATGCTTTTGAGTACATATCGTCTGGACACGCCAAGGCACCAACAATACCCACCATCGCTGAATTCGATGGTGGATTCTTATCCCTCAATCATCTGACTTTAATGCCCGGACTTTGCATTCTCCTAGTATAGAGGCCTGCACAATTACCAATCGATTTTGGGGGTTCCTTTTTATAGTTACATTATAATATACCCCCAAAACCCTATTGTAATTATTAAGGCCCCTATATCACGCTTGTGGCATCCATAGGAAGCCCAGAGGCAACGAGCGCATTGCTGTTTTTCGACCGGATGGATCTTTCATGTGCGGCATTCTACCTGGAACCTTCACGGACTTTGGCAACACCCATAGCCGCTCGGGCGTGTTTATCGTGCACGTGAACTTGCCCCGAGCTAGCATTGTGCAGGATCCTCGTATAGACCCGAACATGGAGTTGGTAGGAATCCTGCTAGTAAGTTCCGGTCAGTCGGGGTATGGTTGAGGGTTGAAGTGAACTGTAGGGCTCAAGGCTCTAGCGAACAATTGCCTCTTCTCCTTCTTGCGGGTGGCCATGGCTCGGCCAGCATCAGCTAAAGCGTATCGGGCAAGATTTCGGTTTTGTGAATTTGGGGATAGCAGTTGGTGGAAAGGAAAAACATTCGGACGAACATGCTCAGCACAAAGGCTACATCTCGGTTAACCCCGTCAATGGTGCGATTTCTGTGTCTATGGACGATGCACACTATGTGGCAATCCTGGCGCCACCCATACAGAGTGATTGACATTGGGTTGGAATGATTGGCCATACTGTTGATGCACAAAATTCTGCATAACCCAAATATAGTGTAGTACCATGAATCCCATAGTTTGGGTATAATAAGGTCATGCAGGATTTTGTCCATCAAGCGTAGTAGTGAGGGCATGGCACGTCAAGAAGCCCGCAGCAGCCGCCTTGAACCCGAGTCCCGAAACGGGACGTAATATCGGGGCTTTAATAATTACCTATACTATTTCGTGGGGTTCCTTATTACATATTTTAGTCCAAAATAACCCAAAACCCTCTTCTAATTATTACGGCCCCTACATGAAGGGCCCAAGCTTTGCACAGGAACTCAGGCCGAGAGCCCTCAAAAAGAGAACGGTTTGGTTTTGACCGCGACCCAACGACTCCCCGAAGCCCTGAGGCATCAATCTCGCAGAAGACAGACTTTGTGCTAGACCGAATGGATTTAGCCAAGACCCTAGACCCTTAACATCATAAGCCCACCCTAAACCCTAAACCCTAAACCCTAAACCCTAAACCCTAAACCCTAAACCCTAAACCCTAAACCCTAAACCCTAAACCCTAACCGAAGCCCTAAACCCAACCCTAAGCCGGAAGCCTGTCGACCTCACATTCTTAGCTCTGGACCTCTCAACCCGTGAGCCCAATGACCTGTGAACACATGGGTGGTTGTCAAAATTATGGTCGCTTTTTGGGTCCTTATTATAATACGGCACCTAATATATTTAGGGCCCCAAAAGGGACCCTAATTTTGACAACTACCTACATCTTGAGAATACTTGGAGGCCCAGGGTGGCGACACCTTGTTCATACAGCGCTTGGGTTGGGTTGGGAGTTTGTGGAACTGCTCTTCGCTGCGGGAGGTCGTCCATAGTTGCTGCTTACCCATAGGCCCCATAGTAGTTCCTTTTTGGGGTTCATGTTTAGAATCCTAAACCCTAAACCCTAAACCCTAAACCCTAATATATAGAATCCTTTAAGGTCATGCCAAAAAGGAACTACTATGGGGTCTATGGGTCTCCCCAACTCCCAAATCCAAAGTCTGAGCAGGCTAGGCCTGATTCCTCTTAGCACCGCAGCCTCGAGCATAGTAAGGCTTAGGGTTTAGGGCTTAGGGTTTAGGGTTTAGGGTTTAGAAGGTGTAAAGGGGTTGCAGGCTTGGGATAAAGAGCAGCTGAAAAGTTTTGGCGTTTCGGGTCATGGAAGCCCTGAGACCTGGACCTAAACCCTGAACTCTAAACTTGAAACTCCTAAGCCTCAAGCCCTCGACCCCAACGCCTAAACCCTCAAACCCCATACCACCTTCTTTCAGTCCGGACGGGAGGATCTCCCTCGTTTATGGGGGCGGGGGTAGGGGGGTGACACGGAAACCTAGGTACTTGAAAGTTCTCCTACGTGAATAGCAGATAGGAGAAGAGATAGCTATTGAAACGAGTCTTCTAGCAGGCCTGGCATAAGCGCACCTTCAACATCAAGATAATGTCCGCTGTCGTACCTGCTCTCCTCCTCATCATCATCATTATCATCATCCTCATCGTCCTCGTCCTCGTCATCAGCATCATATTCATCTGATTATTTGCTACGGCGGTACCTGGAATGTTCGTTCGTCAGATGAGTACCGGTGAGAACAGCACATGTCAGCACCGCTGTGAGAATGTCTTAGTGCATTTATTTAGTTTTCTTTACGATCTATCAGTTGACGTGTCTGCAGCTCCAGTTTCTCTTTTGCGGTCGTGGTTTGGGGTCCAATCGAATGACCAGCACGATGCCACAGGCCTTTAGGGTTTAGGGTTTAGAGTACTTAAGGACAGTTTTCCTGGTAGGAGCGATACTGAGTGATCTCCAACCTCTGTACTCATGTGCAGCCCTCGTCTTGCTCCACAGTAATCATAACAACTGCAGGACGACAGTGTTAGTGGCTGTCACCCTTTGTTTTCAGTTTTCTCTGGACAGCCTCAGACCTGCACCACATCGATACCCGAAGCCCTGAATTCTGAACCCAGCTTGTTCGCAGACCTGTGGCCCAAAACGTCAAGTAGTTTGGCTCTTGGCTGAACCACAGTGCGTGCACAACATGTCCGCAACGGGGCCGATGACGACCAGGCAGATGCAGGACTATTTGGATACGTAGTTTTCTAGCTTAATTAGGCCAGGGCCCCTTATAGGGTCATGTTTATGGCTGCTTTGCACAGAACCTCATACGGTGTATAGGGCCTTTGGATCAGGCGTTTCGGGTTTTTAGGCTTTAGGGTTTTGCGGTTTGGGTTTAGGGTCGATAGCCGACGGGGTTTCCTAATGAAGAGGCCCACCCCCAGCCGTGGGTCCGAGAATGCAGCCTACAAAGAGAAGCGGGGACTTATTTCTTTTCAAGTTCAAAGGCTCCGAAGACCATTTAGGGTTTAGGGTTTAGGGTTTAGGGCCTGAATCATTCATGAAACCCTAAACCCTAAACCTTAAAATGATCCTCCTTGGGGTCCCTTTTCCCAGTTGTAGTTTCAATGTATAACCCGGTGCTCAGGGTGCAAGTTTCGTTGAGGGTGTTGTTTTCGGAGTCACGGGTTTGGATTCGCTTTGTGGCTAAGGGCCTACTTATGTTTAGGGCTCACAGGGTTTAAGGGTTTGCGGTTTTAGGGTGTGCAGTTGACAGGGTTTAGAGCTTTAGGGTTGCTTCAGGTCTTGTTTCTGGCAGAGGATTTCTATGTTTGTTGAGGGTTCGGATGAATGTTCGCGGGCTCCATTCGGCCTGGTCCATCCAGGACAGCTTGAATATTTACTGTAATCATCATGATATACCGCCCTGACAATCCCCATGCAGCTCTTCTACAATTATGCTGCAATATACCGCTGAATGGTATTCTAACTATTAAGGCCCCTGTATACGGCATTCAGGGGAGAAGGTTCCACATCAAAGTAGCCTCGGCCAACCAAATCTGGGGGATGGGTCCGATACAGAGGCCGAAAGCCCTGCAGCCCGAACTGCACAGCCCCAAGATCGAAACTCACCAAGGGTTTAGCCCTAAACCCTAAACCCTTAGGGCTTAGGGCAGCAATTTCTGGATCGGATGAGGGTTCAGGGTAGGCGGTCACAGTTGCCTTGGTAGAGAAGCCCTCCTTCATGGGGCGCAGGAACGCGCAAAGAGTGCATGCTTAGATTTACAGGGTGGAGAGGGAGGGTGTCGAGTGAAAGGCATCGGGTTTATGGCTTTGGGGTCTAGGGTTTTAGGGTTTTTTGGGTGTAGGGTTTAGAGGTTAAGGGTTTTAGGGGTTTTAGGGGTTTAGGGATTTAGGGGTTTAGTGGTTTAGGGGTTTCGGGGTTTGGGATTTAGGAGCTTAGGGGTTTAGGGATGGCTTACGTTGCCCTTGAGGTTCTGCTTGCCGGCCAAGGACTAGAACTAGAGCCCATTGTGCACCAACCCGAACCCCATCATATATATATATATATATATGTATATACATATATATATATATATATTACATTATAGCAATTCCGTATTTCATTGTGGTTGCTTTTCTTTAGACACTGGGTCCCTGACTCAAGAGCCTGCGTTGAAGGTACCTCTCGGATCGATCAAGCGAGGAGAACCTCTCGCGGGAGCAGCCGGCGCGCTCAGCCGGGCGTAGCCGGTTCCTCTCGCCTGAGCCGCGTCCCCTCGAGGCGCCTCGGCGCAGGGGATGCGGTGTTCAGGATTTGGGAGTTTCAGAATTACTGCGAACCCATAACAGCCCTTAACAGGGACCCTGAATACTTGTAGGAGGATCCTTAACTTATCAGAAGGACTTGCAGCACACCGTAGTTACCTTTCTCGCCGTGGACCACCCCAGAACACAAGCCTCTAGCCTGAGCAGGCACTTATGAAAGCTCCACATGCTTATTTACCCGAAAGGCCCTTAAACAAGCTCCACGCCAGGAACATCTTCGACGTATCTTCGGACCAGAAGGCGTGCCGCGAGCACCGAGGCCACAGCGTACTCGAAATCCAATGTTCCGAAGCTGCATCTTCCAACTTAGGGCCGTAGGAGCTTATAATATTTAATAGGTGTGCAGCTTTTCGGGATTACTCTTTTGTGAACTTTTGTGCTTACCCCGGAGCTTGTGTGAAATCGCCCAGGCTGAGTCGTTCCGACGACGTGCTCTTCCAGTGGGATTGAGAGGATGACCCAAGCTGATGCAACTCCGCTGCCGTCCTGGGAGTTCAGCCTTGGGCTTCATGAAGTTCAGCTGTTTCAGGAGTTGGGGTTCAGGGGTACTTGGAGGTTCATGGGTAGTTATAAGTGGGGTTATAAGTAAGGTAACTATAGTTATAACCCATATTTGGGGACTTAAAACCCCACTAGAGGTCTAGTGACCCTAAACCCTAAATCCTAAACCGTGTTGAGGGTCTATGATCAGGTCTGTACAGGAGCAGGATTGAGGTTCGATGCAAAAACACAGAATCCTTAAGTAATGCAAGGGTTTAGGGTTTAGGGTTTAGGGTAATTTCCAATACAATACTATTTTAGGGGCTCCTTATTATGATCATAGTTCAATATATGTATATATATATATATATACCTCCAAACCCTACTCGAATTATTAAGGCCCCTGTATTATGCTTGAAGCCGAAAAGGATTTAGGATCGCTTTGCCCAGGGCGGTGGCAGACCGTGCATACCACCTTTGCTCATTCACGAAACGCAAACCCCAAGGCTCCATAGTACCAGAGTATATACTCAGGCCGTAAAGGGGTTCCTATAATTGGGTACCTAAACCCTAAACCCTAAACAGGCCGGAGTATATACTATTTGGGCACATGGAGCCTTGGAGGGAAAGTGCGATCGAGTTGCTCAGCGGGGCCTGCAGCGTGCAACACGCTGGATTGCCCAGGAGACATGACACCTCTTTTGGAGCCGTGGTGCCCCTCAGATGAGCCCTAGCAACTCGAAGTTTAGGGTTTAGGTTTCAAGGGTTTCCAGGCTTTTTGGGGTTTAAGGGTTTAGGAGTTCAGGGTTTAAGGGTCTGGGTTAATTTAGGGTGCAAGATGCGCCCGACGTAAATACATGATGCTGGTAGAAACAGTCCAAGCTCCGGAGCCCCTAAACCCTAAACCCTAAACCCTAGGCATGAATGCAAAGGCTCATGACCTGCATGTACACGAACAATGCATGCACATGTGACACAGCCATGCTAGTAGAAATCAAGAGGAAGGCGAAGCAAATCTATCTATCTATCTTTCTTTATATATATATATACACATACATATATGCATGTGTGTGTGTGTGTTCATTTATTTAGGTATTTGTTTATATACATACATGCACGCATGCATACATACATACATACATACATCAGTACGAAAGATATATGGTACTCGGTGATACACGAGACTCGGCGAGGTGTCATAGAGCTGCAGCGCCGAAGGCAATCGTGCAGTGCCCTTCTAGATTCTAGCTAGTATCTTTTGTGACTTCCTCTGCTTCCCTCTGGATGGACCACCATTTAAGGTCCGCGTGGGTTTTCAGATTTAGGACCGACATCGTGGCGTCGACTCAGCGCAGATAGCTTCGGAACAGGTATTCAAAAGCACAGTACAGACATGCTGAACTGCAGCATGAGATGGTGAGGTAGGGCCCGATGGGCACGGGCAGTTGAGGCTCTGTCTGTTCAGAAGGACCCATGACTGACATTTAGGGTTTAGGGTTCAGGGTTTAGGGTGTAGGGTTTAGGGTTGAGGAGAGTAAGGCGGGAGCCTAAATCAGGGTAGATAGGGCCTCAAGTCTCAGGACCCGCGCGTCTCCGGCCCTTCCTCCTGTCGAAACTTAGATGTCCCGAGCCTGCGGACGTGAAGCATTCAGCCCGGCAGCCCCCAGACATGAAGCGATCTTAGCATAATTTAGGGTTTATGGTTTAGGGTTGCAACCAAAGCAAGTCAACGTGAGTGAATCGTTTCTCGGCTGGTGTACCCAGCACCAGGAGCTTTGCCACAAGGTTCCCATCAACTATTGCATTCGCATCTTTGCTTTTGAGAGATTCCCGAAGGCACAGGTGGGCGAAGTGGGTTTACTATGCACAGTGCAGCAATCAACAAGCAAAGTGGCACCTAAACCCCAAACCCCAAACCGTCAACCAACAGCCACAGACCCCTTCGCAGCATAGTCCTCTTTATCTGCAGCAGCCGCCATGTGACCCACGAGAGAACGGCTCGGCAGCAGCAAAAGCCCTAGCATCACCAGTGAAAACAGCCGGTGCCGTTTAAGTCCTCAATAATTCGGGTTACCCTGACACCCTACTGTATTGTAGTATACCACGTTATATGATATATGATATGATCTTGTAAAGTATAATTATTTTACTGTAGTATCTTAGGTTACATCATACCATAGGCCCTTGCACTTGCGGGGCTGTGAGGTTCATCAGCAGGCATCCAAATCGGGCAACCACCGACCGAGCCGGAGGCCAGGTCCAAAAGCTCGCGCGGTTTGGGGCTGTGAGGAAAAACCTAAGGGTCCAAGGACCTAATCGGCCGCTGGGGTTCGATGGCTTCTATCATTAAACCCTAAACCCTAAACCCTAAACTTATAAACCCTAAACCATTTTTTCGGGTTAGAATGTGGCGTTCTGTGTTTTCGCTACACCTGGCGGCCTCGAGATTTGGTACTTCGGACCTTTAGGACAGGTAGGCTCTTGTTCTCAGGTGATGTTGTGTCCTGTTCTTTGTGCTACAGAAGCTTCATTAGAGACGTAAGCCGTTTGATGTCAATCGCATTGTTTGTGAACAGCCCTGGACCTGCGAAGCTGTCTGTACAGGAGGCTGACACTATTCAGTGGCCCCTTATATGTTTATATATATATATATACATGTATATACATGTTATATTATGTTTTGCGTCTTATATATTACTTCAGCCCGTAACCCACCTTTCACGGTTCAGTCGGAGACTCTATACCCAAAGTCCCTGGCTTAGATGCGGGTTTTCAGAGTATGAGGTATGGTTATATAAGGTTTCTATCTCTAGGTGCTTGCTTTGCTATTACTTCCAGATTACGGCCTACAAGTCGTGTCTTGCAGGGCTTTGTGGTGTGAAGTTTGCACAGTATACCTTTCCATACCAGGCGCCGCATGAATCCCTGACCCAAGGTCTACCACCTTACTTGGAGTGTCAGAAAGGACCCCTATAAAGCAACGTAGGGACCTTAATGATTAGAATAGGGTTTGGGGCTATATTCTCTTATAGTTATATTACGGAATCCCCAAAACCCTTTTCTAATTATTAAGGCCCCTACATTGACATAAAGCCCTGGACATTGGACTCTTGCTTTACAGGGGCAGGCCCCCCAGTCTCTGTTGTTAAAGCCTTCGTTGTGCAAAAGGCCATTGTTTCAAAACAGAGAGGGGATATGGATCCACCCCAAGAGAAAGGACACCTCAAGCGCTTCGCGCCCCTAGTTTGAAAGTATTGCTCGGTAAGGGTTTGACGATGTGCAGGCTCGGGCTTACAACATCTCAAAAAGCGGAATACACGAGTTTTGAGAAGAAAAAACGGACTGGATGGGTTTAGAATCAACGGTAGCCTCGTGTGTGTGTGTGGTAGCCTGGTGTGCATTTAACGGATAAGGGGTACCCGCCGATGCAGTCAATCCCTCTTTGTTGAGGGTCATGAATATGTCGGAGCCCTCTGAGCCCTTAAGCCCTAAACCCTAGATCAGGGATCTCATATTGTGAGTCGGATTTGGGGCTAGTTTGGTACGTTTTCTTCCTTTCGCATGCAACCAGCCTGGGCCCCTGATGTCAGCAGATTCCATTCGGAGATGGGTGCATCAAACTGGACAAGGCTCCCTGCATGGCAGGGTCACTGTCACTATCATTCCTAACCGCGCGACTGGTACTTGTAACAAGTAATTATGCATGTCTAAATCCGTCTCCTGCTCAGAAGAAGAAGAAGAGATGGAGAGTAATGCAACACGATCACTGCGACCATACTGAGAAAACCCTAAATCCTAAACCCCTAAACCCTAAACCCTAAACCCCTAAACCCTAAACCCTAAACCCAAGACTCTCACTCAGCACCAGACTCGGCACCGCAACCGACCTACGGTTCTAGGGTTTAGGGAGGTTTACTTGGAGGTTCATGGGTAGTTATAAGTAGGGTTTATGGGGTTCCTTTAAGGGTTCCTTTAAAGGGTTCTATAGGGTTTAGGGTTTAGGGTTTAGGGGTAGTTATAAGTATGGTTATAAGTCCCCTAATATGGGTTATAACTTGGGAGTCTCCCCCGCCCATTAACAGTCAAATACGACTTTCACTATATGTACCACCCTACAAAAAGCACAACTACTTGGAGGCCTT